GTATCGAAATCCCAACTGTATCAAAATCCTGACGTTCGAAATCCCGACTATATCAAAATCTCGACAACCATAATCCCGACTGTATCAGAATCTTGGCAACCATATTCCCGACAAACATAATCTCGACTATATCAAAATCCTGACTATCAATTTTGATATAGTCGGCATTATAGTTTTGGTACAGTCGGTATTTCGAACGTCTTGCGATTGCCACCGGCCTAATTGAACATGCTTTATATATATATTTTGCTCAATTTTTGAGTAAACAGGTTTTAGTCTACAATGAATAAATATTTTGAACAAGTGTGTCAACAGTGATTTGTTCAAGTTTATTCATTACTTAATGCAAGATAATGACTTTGTCGACCCTAATTAGACCCAATACATGAATAAGTAGAAAACAGTAGAATATTTTTTTAAGTAGATGATAAGAATATTGATTATAACATAGAATTGGTAATATTTTTTAAATTATTAAATACGAATTATCTTAACAATAAATGCACTTTCGTTATGAATCAAAAACTATTATAATTTCATGTAAAAATAAGCTTGACCTTTCTAATAAATTTCATGCAGACCGGGATTTCTTCACAGCAAAATGTATACAAAATATCCGGCCTCATGTAATCAAAATCAGAGAACATAGGAGAACAAAAGCTATTAAAACTATTAAAGTGTCCAGACGAAGTGGATAGACTTTGAACAGGATATTGTAAACTTAGGAAACGACAAGGATTACAACGGAACGTACAAAGCGAATTTACAAAGAAGAATTAAACGATGCTTACAGTCTGCATGTAAACTAGCTCAAAGACCATGTGTGCCAAATGAATTGTGTTACGTAAAAACTGCTTCGAATCGAGCATATACATTCCCACTCTCAATTCAATATGATAAAAATCTAAAGTTTAACAGTTGTCTAATACTGCAATATCTTACACTGCTTCGATCAGTCCGGTTTGAAAATTATAAAATAAACTAAATTTTAATTGACCAAAAAAAATCTAAAAAAATAGTATTATTACAGTCAAGTCTTTTTGTGTAGTTTATAGCTATATGATTTTAAAATCCTTGACTAATCCAGTTTCAAATAGTCCGGGATATGTCAAGTATCCGCACTCTACGAGGTAATGCTGTATTTTTTTAAATAATTTAATTTGATTAATATATATTGCTTTTCCACTCAAATGACCACAAATCACAATCTTTCAACTATTATGTAAATACGTGCGGTATTCAAATTAATTACTCGACAACATGAATAACATTAATTTATGAAACATTACGAATAATAAACGAAATTCTATTTGTAGAATTTAAATTCGTTAAGAAAATAAGTATAAGTTTACAATTGCCATTTCGAAATTTAATTGACATTTTCACGAACGATTTGAATGGGAGACTGCTGCATGTGGAGTAGCGATTAATAGTTTAGAAGGGAAATAAAATTGAGAAGCTGAATTCTTACTTTCACAGGAAACTTCAACTGGTGAAATATATATATTTATTTTATGTGATTCATTTGCTAATTCAACGTACGGTGTTGCAAACTCCAACTCATATAAACATCATAAATATTAATTTTAATTAACAATATAAATTATAGTATGATGATTGCTTTTGTAGAAATATGTTGACACACACATTAAATTATTATTGATTCAATTTTAATTAACGATTGTTCTTTTGTATTATTGATAATTATTATCAGTGTAAATTTCTTTTGAAACAAACATAAAATTGATTTGTTTTAACTATTTTAGGGTCGAATTTTACCACCTTTTTAATTGTATGTTAAGAAAATGTTCAAGAAAGAGGAATTACCACATTCTAATCATCAAATTCTATAAAACTTTCCATTGACTTTTTTATGTAAATCATTTTTTATTGTTATAAATACATTTTACAAATTTAAGAATTTTTAGCCCTTCAGAGTTAACATGCGTAATTTTAAGACATTCCTCCAGAAATATTGCTTAACTTTAACAAACTATCAAATATCTTCATTTATTCTTTTTAATAATTGATCAATTTATATTGATTTTTACTTAAAAAATATGTTGACTTTAATTTGGGTCAATAATGTACTTTCAATTGACAAATATGTACTTACAATAACAGAGTTAAAGAAAAACTATGAAAATTATGTTTTGCAAATGCAAGCCTTTGCGGCGATAGGATCCGAGAGTTTCAAGGTCACGCCAATTCCAAAGTGATTTTGGACATTAGCTATCTAAATTGCCATCTGCATTTGAAACGACGTCCGTTTTCGTGCCACTTATACCCGTGTTCAGCGTCCGTTTTATTTTTAAAAACTGCACCAGAGTTAACCGGTTTTCCTATATATTTCAATGCGGAATTTCAATTCCGTTTTTAGAACGATATGTTCAAAAAGGAAGTAACAATTATTTTACAAATGCGCAATGTATTAGAAATCATTCAACTTTGAAGAAAATCATTGAAATGAAATTTATATTTATTTTCTAATAACTAAAATCAAGTATTTGTGAAAAATAAACATGTAGGTTTGTCTAAATAAAACTGTTTCAAACGTGAAGAAATTAAGTAAAATAATTAACAAGAATTATTTGGAATTTCAATTCCGAAGATATTTTATAAAAGGAAGGATCAAGTATTTTACAAATGCACAATTTATTAGAAATCTATCAACTTTGAAGAAAATAATTCATATTTGTTTTATAATGACGAAAAACAAATTAACATTAGATTTTTTTAATACAACTCAAAGAAAATAAGTAAATTAATTAACAGAAATTATTTAATTGGCAATTTAACACTGAAATGAATTATTACCATAGTTGTTTGCATATAAATCTAATTAATCATTATAATTACATTTTATAATTAAGATTGTAAAGTAAATAAATCATCAAGAATTATTATGTTTTCGATTCGAAATAAATTGTTTACAAAAAAATCTAATATATTTCTAAAATTTTATGATTTTAATTCGTTGTTTTATTAAAGCTATTTCAGAGTCTCCTTTTGTCATAATTAAGGTGAAATGAGTCAATTTGGTTTAGCTTAATTTGCAATTTCCTCAGTTTTATTCCAATTAGTTTAAGTTTGTTTGTAGGTTTGGTGATTAGTCTAGTGGCCTATTATAAAATTACGTTGGTACTGCATCATCTGTTGTTGACTGGCGTTACATTGTTAACTCCAATAATTATTCACAGAAAACCAATAAAAACTTGTAATTTGATAAAAAATACAATTATAACAATTTACCTTGATTAAAATAATTCTAGAAATTAAATCTTCCAACTACTTTAAAAACACTTCAACTTTGACACTTGTACAAATAAAATTTGTTTATTTACTAAATATTTACTTAGCAACGAGAATTTTATATTTTTTTGAACTATTGTAGCTTTGATCACATCATTTAGGCAAATTAACGCTCTGTTAAATGTTAATGATTACCTCTTTTTGAAGTTAGTGTGATAATGGTAATACGATATAGCGACCGGCGTTATTCGAATTTCGACTGTTATATTTAGATTTAACGAGGCGAAATATTACAAACATTCCTAAAACATGACGGTCAAATACCTCGATACGTGAAAATAGATTCCTCGATATATTCTGATAAACCTGGACGAGTTTCACCGAACGTCGTGTGTCCCGAATAGCAGTAATATGACACAGCTGGAGTGTGTATATTCATTCATACAGCGATATAGATTACTTCTCTCCTAGACTCACCACTTTTATATATGACAAACATATTGATTCTAAGGGTTAAAGCTTTCACAAAACGTAGTTATTAAAGTCATCTCATTCTTTATGTACTTGTTTTCCTAATAGACGATTCAATAAATTAGTTTGTTTGATATTTTTTAGACAAACACGAGTGCCATGAATCCGTCTAGTATAAAATATATTCTTTTATCATGTTTACGTATTTTTTTATTATGATTTTGGCTATTTATTAATTATTTTGTTTATTGAGATAATTAATTAAATCATAATGAATACGCAGGTTTTTACATTTTAAATTTAAAACTTTAAATTTGTAGATCCAATGCATCCAACATTAATTTATAAAAAATCAAAATATTCCTAATTGCAAAAATATAAAGAAACTTATTATATAAATGTAAATCTGTGTAAATTCATTAAGTTTTATTAAATTGATTAAACTTGTTTTGAAATTGACTTTCATGCAGAATTCAAATTAATTTCAGTTTTAAACCTTTTTTTTAATCTGACTTTTATATAACATTAATAAAATTCAATAAGAAAAGAATTTTATAATAGAAAAATATTAGTTTGTCAATCTAGTTTTTACCAACCAAAACCATTGAAAGTCTTTGTTATAGTAAATAAGTTAATGCCAGTTAAGTTAATTTTCAATGAACTTTTTTTTGAAGATGTTAAAATATCAACAATTTTAGTTCATGATGTCAAAATTAATACATTTCTTATGAAATCATCTTTTTTTTCTAAAATCTTCCTGAAATTCATAATTATACTAATTTTATGTTAAATTTGTGCAATGCAGTAAACACTTCTGTAATGCGATATTCTCCTAATGAGGTTTCCATATAACATGGTACAATCGCGTTAGAAAAGGGTTGTCTTTTTTGACATTCATTGGTCCATTCTAATTCATTACGTAAAACTTATATTAGAATATAATTATAACTTGTATATTGATGATATACACTTTATTTTTCAATAATTTGTTAATAATGAATGTGATAGAAATGGATGGAATATGATTTACGAAAAACAAAATCAAAAACTTTCGCGAATAAAACAATATATTTTAAGCAAAAAGTATATTTCTCTTAGAATCGGACGTTTTATACAATTTAAAACTCGATTGGCGGCAACAAAAAATATAATTACAAAAATAAACATCGATTTGTCATCAAGCTACTGAGCTGAAGAGGAATGAACCAGCAGAATACTAATAATAATAAACTTTATTATTATTCCAACAAATAATATATATAATAATTATATAACAAAAATAAATATATTTGATAAAACTTTAGCAGATTTGATCCGGAATTTAACTAGTTTAGTTTTTTTATTGACACCTGTACCTATTTACTTCGTATGGAACTTAAGAAACCAATAAATTAGCTATCAAGTGCAAGCTCATCTTAAAAGCAATTGCTAAGTGCGAATCACCGTTAGTCATCCTTATCGGAAATCGTGAAGGCATCGCTAATTCCCAAAACGCTCCTCACTTTATCCTCTGTTTCGCTCACGTAGATCAGCCGGTAAAGACCATCGTGCTTATTGCTTGGTTGTGAGAAGGTTATATTGTACTTCTTCGAAAAACCTTCGGGATTCTGGACGCTGGAATTAGGTGACATCTGCGGACTAACCTTGTTCTTCGGCGTGGGCGTAGGACTAGAATTTTTCATCACGTACTCGTAAGTTTGGTACTCGTCCAAGCAGCAAAAATCGGCCTAAAAACAGCGTGTTAAAAATACATCAATCTAAAGTTAATTAAAACCTTATAAACGCCGATCCAATCGTCTCTATTGATTTTATGATAATGAAGGAACTCGAAACTAATACAGTTCTCCTCGTTGTCCCACCAGTTCGAAATCTTGTCAAACTTCACCACCTCTTCTCCATATTCCGAAAGCACCTGAGAATCTATTAATGTGAATGTCGCTAATCGCTTAGTCAATTGTGGAGTCTACATTGGGAAACAAAATAAAAACAATATTATTATTTGTAAAAAAGCGTTCGCAACAATTAGTTCGTTCACTTACTTATTGCGTTTATACCGGATTGCAAAGAACAAAGAATTTAAATACGATTGTCAATGTGCATTTAACAATTTTTTAATCAGTAATCTAATATGTACTGAGTCTAGAGATTTCGGAATCAAATATGTTGCGTATAGTGAATGCAGTATGAGTTTACCTTAATGACGAACTCCGAGGTGACGGGTTTATGGTCGCTCAACGTGTATTGCGGATGGGAAATGTAAGATTTTTGTTCGGCGTGCAACGTTATGTTATCATAATTATTCGGATGAACCTTGTACAAAATCCTATCTGTCCAAGCCGGTCTTCTCCTGAAAAAATAAATAAATTATTGTACAGAAAATTGCGGAGGAGCCGGGTAGTATTATGCAAACAATTGAACTTACTTGTGGTCATATTTGGAATCGCCTACTTCGAATTTGAACGTGGGCGGAAATAAGGGATTGCCTTCGTCCAATTCTGAAAAAGCGACTTTCTTCTGCATAACGCTTCGAAGCTGATCGTGCTTGAACAACTCGTCTATGTTTCCTTTATTGATTATCCTCTCGATTTCCTCTGGCGATCTGTCGAAATTCTCCAGCAACCGGAAGTTTAGGTCACCCATCCAGAAAATGTAACTGCAACATAGAAAAATCATATTTGTATAATACTCAAAACATATTTTTACATTCTTATATATTTAATCAATTTCATATTTTTTATACAAAATAAATTGCGATAGTTTTTTTTTTATTTCCTCAGCTTAGTTTCAATTTTGCTTCTTTTATAAATTACTTAAAGACTAGTTTTTTTAACAGCAAATTATGATTATTTGAAACACTCAAGAATTTAATAACTCAATGACTTTTAATACGTTAAACGCAACGAGTTTTATTTTTACACAATTTTCACGAAAGGTAAACTTTTCATGAATACTAAATTTCCACCATTTAGTATTCATTATTAAAACTTACGTAACTCAACAGTTTCGTGCTAAATCAATAATGATTACAAAACAAACGTACAAGTTAATAGTTTAGAGCAGCGTTTCTCAACCTTTTTGTTGCACGACCCAACAAATTTGTTTGTATTTGTACTCTGACCCAATCGCTAAGAGTATTTCACCAGTTCCTCTCTTTGACACAAGATGACATCTGTCATTTCGTGACACTTTAAAAATATAACGCGTTCCAATTTTGGTTCACAGCTCACAGGTTCATAAACGCTGGTTTAGAGAATCCATACATACAGCAAGGATTTCGTGGAAATAATTTCAAGGATATTTTTAAAGCCAAAATCAATCACTCGCGACTTTGTGTATTCGGCTCACATCTATAAATTGAATAGCATTGGAAATAATGGATTCTCACTTATAACATAAACAATGGCGAGTCTCAACATAAAAAAAATGCAATGAAAAACAAACTAATATTTATGTTAATTATTAACAAATATTTATGTTGTAATTAGAAAGTGTCTAATTAGTTTATGCACGAATTAACGATCTTGAAGTTTTTTTATTTGTTAGAGAAGATGTGGAACAACCTGAACTTGAGTAAATTTATTCAAATGTCAAGGTATTTCATTTAAACGTTAATTTCAATGTTATTAAAACAACTTGAATTGTACACGTTAATCCATTTTGAAACAGAGTAATCAGCGGATTTTCAAGTGTGAATATTTATTATTATTTTTTATTATCAAAACAAAAATACAATAAACGAGTAAGATAAAATTATTTACGTTTTTATATTTGGACATTATTTTCATCCTATTGTAACTATTTTTTTGTTGCGGATCTGAATAAGGAATTTGATACTAGTATAAACACATTATAAAATGTAGATATAAAGAATCTTTACTTCGGATATAATTATGACTTTGTGTCTATTGATTATCTGCTTCGTAAATACTTTATTATTCTCGTTGCAGACATAAAACATTACTATTCATTTGCATGAGGAATATGAAAAATAGCAATAGATAATAATCTCTAATGCACCTTAATTACTTCCAATTCTGAAAATTATTTATTTTTCGACCTATAAGTTACCTCTTTGTTAATAATTACAAACATTACTTCTACATAAACCATGTTTTTTTCTCTCTCTGACGGAATGTAATTACGTGTGTTTGCAACGACGACATTTAAAGTGAGATCACGGTCAAGTCAACATTTAGTCAAAGCATCATCAAATATCTAGTTTATAATATAATTTACGTTTTGGATGTCATGGCCCCACACAATGACGTTGATTGACAATTCGATATTTAGTCGAAAACTATTTAATTATCTATTATCTATTTCTTTTTAAATTTTGAAATAGAAATTGTTTGATTGCCTCTAAAAATATGTTGATGTAACATTGAATATAATGGATTAAAAAAAAACAAAATTATACAGAAAACTGTCCAAATTGAATCGAGTAAATTTTTCATGAATTAACAAGTCGATAACAAGTCGATTTAGATAGAAGTTAAAGTATTTAAAAAAAAAATTATAAGTACATAGAAAATGTTTATCAATATCACGGAAACAAGATAACTTAATTTATCGTATTATATAAGATTAATATATTTTTTTAAAACTAAAGATTAAATCAATAATAAAGAAACTAAATATTTGAATGTAAAATTGATAATAAATTACACTCAATTATTAAATTATTCAAAAACAATTAATCAGAAATGTTAGAAATAAAACATATTCACGAAATACAAGGTCAAATTGTTACTGGTTTTCTTTTAACAATTATTAAATATCTTTTGAGTTTCGTATCGATCTTTAAACTTAATCATAGAATAAAGTTAAAATAAATAAAATAGTCAAATTCACGCTGAGTTCTAAGAAAATATGATTAATTAAACAAATTTACTCAACAAATTATAATATAAATAATTACTTTGTAAATGCAATTTCATTACTTTAGTCTTCAATTATGTTTGGATAAAGTTCTACCAAATTTATTAAACACAAGAATTTTAGTATGTGTCTATTTCAGTTATCGTATTTAAAATTCTCAATGACTTTTTATGAATTATTTAGTATTTTATAAATACATTATTGATATAAAATTTAAAATAAAAACATAAAAATCCATTACGTTTAAGAAACAATTATGGAAACCGTAAATAGTGTTTGCACCTTGTGATATATACATTTAAAAAAAAAGGAACATTAAACTAGATTTTCATTGCCGTGTGCCACAATTTATCTGCTCCAACAGTTCAACAGATCGTAACTGTACATAAACACGTAACTGTCCAGCACATATAAAACAGTTGAATGAAGCAATGCAGCAGACGCGATTAATAAAATATGCGCATTAATAAATAAACAACATCAATAATATTAATTAGCGATGGACATTGACTCGATTATTATTATAAATGTTGCTAAGAAAAATATATTCTACTTTCTTTATACAATTATCAACAAAAGTTAAGTGCATTGCTCTGTTATAGATAAAGCTAAAATTAAATCCGACAACCGGGAAAATAATAAATTGTCGCGCATTGCATTTATTCGTTGACGTCATAAAACACATGAGATCAGTATTGCGCAACGTTGAATGAAAATCGTTGCGAGGTAAAGCGAAATAGTAGAAAAACAGTAGTTTTAGAGAAAATTATGGGTAAGAAGTTCATATAAGGGCGACAAATAGCCGAATGGTTAAGTCGCCCACGATCTAATGGGAACAGGTTCAAATCCTGGTCAAGCCAGGCCCTTTGTGAGGCCTCTCGGTGCTTGCAGCAATAGGGCCATCGTTCAACACAGATGGACAGTCAAATGAATGAGGTTTAGCATATGGACCTTCAGGCAAGTCGATGGACAATGACAGTGCTAAGGATAGCAGCAGATTCATAGTCAAAGGAAATAATGGAATCGCAGAGCATCAATATACTACTGAAGTTAATAAGTTTTACAAGACGACAACCAACCAACAAATTAAAAATCCGGGAAAGATTACCTACCTAATGTCAACCGCGATCTTAAATTTACTCAATGTTCATAATGATGAACAGATTGTATATAAAATTATACGACATAAAAAAAAAGAAGTTAATATACTCACTCGTGAAAGAATATGGTGTTGTTGCCACTCACGTGGAACTCCTGGTCCTTCACGATGGTATTGTAATCCTCGATGCGATCATCCAGTTGATGATCGTGAGCGCTCAAGTGAGCGTTCACAAAGCAAATTGTGCATCCGTAAATGCCCAAACGGATGCTTACCGCACCTTTATTGCCCTGCAACAATTACAACAACAAACATGAAATGTTTTGTGACATTTTTTTTTAGTGTACTTTGTACTAGTATTTCCTCTATTGCAGACATTCTACATTCAAATGAGTAACTATTTTTTTTTGCACTACAATTTTCATAATTTATATAGTGCACGCAATGATTTTTAAATGCTGCAAATTACAGCAATTGCTATTATAAACAAATTTCAACATATATAATTAAGTTTTTTATAAATAAATATAATAGAAAGAACACAAAACTTAAAGAAAAGATCTCTTATTTTACATTTCACATTTAATTGCTAATTAAAAACATAAATATATTTCTGAATTCATTAAATAATCTTTACTACAAGTCAACATGAAAACACTAAAAGGTAAAATACTAATAGCGTCAAGTGTACTTGATATAAGAATTTCATATCATAAAATTATGTATACTTAATGCATATTAATTGCATCTAATTAAGCTTGACAATAAACGTATTTCCTCACTAATTAAACATTATACTCTTGTATGTAAAGTCATGATGATAAAATAAGACATACACAAGTTAACGTAGATTTGTCGAGGATTTAATTACCAATAATATCCAAGGTATTTCTATCAAATATAATCATTACAGTTAACTAAAGTTTAATTCAAAGAATTAATAAGTTTACATTGATTTGGAGTGCATTTGTATAATTATTGCAAAAGAAAATGAAATAATGAATATGAGAATGAGAAATTCATTAAAATAATATTATCATAATTTTATAATTTCTAAATTTGCTGTTTCTAGTTCAAATTCGAATTCGTCCTTGGCAATCACACTGCATAAATTACATAACAGATATCGATCTTAAATACTTCTCTCTTCGATTGTGAAACGCATTTGAATAATTGTTTGCATAAAAAATTGTCGACACACCAATTCGAATCGATACACGGTGCGAGTTTTTTCCAACATAAAACTGCGTTTTATATTCGACACTAAAGTTAATATTCATCATGAAAGTGAGCGTAAACAAAAAAAATAAAATAATGTTTGTCAGGCGATGAAAATTTACTGCATTCTTGTTTTAAAATAATGTTTAATAGCTTAGCACAATACAACTATTTTAGTGACAAAAAATTTACTGGCTTTTTTTGTATTATATTCATTACTTTTTACTTTCAATTATTAATATTGACTGTGTAATATCATTGTTTAATAAATATTCAATTCAAATTATTGTACAAAAAAATAAATAATAAGTAAAAATTGGATTTGTAATCAATTAAATTCAAGTAAAAATACACAAAATATTTGAATTTATCTTCTTGGATAATTGGATACAACTAATATATATTAATGTATACTAATGTATATGAAATTACAGCAAAGCTGGCATAGTGCGGCTTCGGTCAGTGCGGTTTCACTATAGTACGGTTTGAATATTTCAAAACAAAGCAAATTTTAATTGAGCAAAATAAGTTCTAAAAAAGTAATATAGAATTTTCTGTTTATGTTCGTTTCTTTACTTTTCTCAATTCAGTTCAGTATCTTTTTGTTGCGTTTATTTATATAAAACCGCATAAAAGTCCGAGTAGTCCGTTTTCAAACAGTAGCGAAATCCGCACTATTCGAAACATTCCTGTACTCAAACTATTAATACGCGTTTCCAAAGGAACTTGTATCGATTTTGCAATGCAAACTTATGTAATTGTTAGATATCATCATATATTCAAGTCAAGAAATTGGAAAAAACAGTGCTACACACATTCACTTAATAAAATACAACGAATGTATATGAAATTACAGCAAAGCTCGCATAGTTCGGCTTCGGACAGTGCGCTTTCACTATAGTACGGTTTGAATATTTCAAAACAAAGCAAATTTTAATTGAGCAAAATAAGTTCTAAAAAAGTAGTATAGAACGTTTTGTTTATGTTCGTTTCTTTACTTTTCTCAATTCAGTTCAGTATCTTTTTGTTGCGTTTAATTATATAAAACCGCATATAAGTCCGAGTAGTCCGTTTTCAAACAGTAGCAAAATCCGCACTATTCGAAACATTCCTGTACTCAAAACTATTAATACGCGTTTCCAATCGAACTTGTATCGATTTTGCAATGCGAACTTATGTAATTGTTAGTTATCATCATATATTCAAGTCTAAGAAAATGTTACGCGCAATACAATGAATTATGTTCATTCTAGTAGAATTCAATGCCAAGATTTGCGTCTCGAGCAATGCAAAAATAACTTGGCTATCGAAATATATCGATTTTGCTTTGAGCAGACTATTAATTACTCGCTAAAAACATTGAAATATTTACGAATTCATTGTTATTATTTAAACCGTTTTTAAAACAAAAAGAGTAGACTAAACAAGTTTTCGTTTTAACAATAAAATAATTACGAATTATTTGTTGATAATAACAAAATATTAATTACTTACATGTATACATGAATCAGTTAAAACTTTTTTTTTAGAGCAAAAACTGTAGATAAATTGTTTTGTTTCAACAATAATTTATTGAACTTAAGAGATAATTAAAATAAATGATATTAACAGTTAATTATATATTTCAATTCATGAATCACTTTAAATTTCCATCTGTTTTTAGAACATAAATTGTTTGCTTTCAGCAGATTATTTATTTCCAAAACTTCAATACGTACGAAAATAAATTGCTTTGCAGAATTGGTTTGAAGCTCCAACGATTATTTTCGTAATATTCCAGGAATATGTGTAAAATAAACCTGTTATCCATCAATAACAGATGCGTATGATAACAGTAAAATATCTCTCATTTGAAACAAACTTTGAGCATTCTATTTTTTTTACAACGAATAAAATAAATATTTTCTCTCTAATTTCAATAAAATATCAATAAAATCTATATTTTTTTCATTAGATTTCCAAGGTTAACTATAATATTTCTATAAAAAAACGAACATTTGATTAATATTAGAATTTACGTATTTCCAATATCGAATAAAAAATAAGTGTTTGAGAATATTCTAAGTTTATGATCAAAAATAAAAAAAGGTAATGTGTTTATAAAAAGAAACTATTTGCTTACATTGTAAACTACAGATGCTGTAGCTAAATTAAGAAACATTCATGTAATAGTTTTTGTAAAGATTTTACTTGTATTTTTAATCTATGTTATGACAAACCCAATCTGAAATTCGTTTTTCATAGAAATATTTAACTTGAGGTCATATATACATTTTCATGGAGAAATATATATTTGCAAAAATTAATTGATAAGTAATAAATTTAGGTAAAACAAATATAAAATATGATTCACAAAAAAAAAACTGATAATGTTATCTGTCTCAATTTTTGTTTATCTATTAATTTTGCAGAGAATATCACTAACCCATAATCCAGACAGCCCAGTCCTAGTGTAATTACTCTCGATCTCCCTAACATTGAGCAAATGCTTCCTTAATGCGTAGACACTCAAAACTAAACCCTGCAGCCTGATGGTCTTCAGCTTGATGTAGTTTCTAGGTGCAAGGATCTCCTTCAAAGCCCTTGTCCATGGGTCATCATTAAATGCATCAATCATTAATTTCACCGGCTGAGCACTGACCTCCTGCAGCCCAATCACATAAAAGTCTGGTGTTGCTTTATCATTCTTCGGATTGCTGGACAGAGACAGCATCTCCAGCAAGCTCTGCTCTGGAGAACTTGTTCCCACATTGTATGTGGCAAAATATATCCTAAAGAAGCAAATAAACAATTAGTTATAACAATATGAACAAATTTGTCTATACAATCTAGGGCATGTGGAAGGATTGATTTTGTTGAAGAGAAAGTTCAGAACTGTAATTTTGTGTAGGTAATGCAATAATAATTGTTTGTTATAATTTTTTTGTGGGAGGGCGAATATTTGGATATAAACAAATCTTGTTAGGGGACTCACTTTAAATCATCCATATTTCGTGTGCACTATAAAAATCAATTGCTTATGCTGTACATAATAGGAGGAATGTATAGACGTCAATGACAGATTAATACTATGATCAAATCACCTTGCACAGCCTCACGGCACGACTTTTAATGAAATGTTTCTCGCGTTTTATGGTGGGAACGCAATAGATCCTTGTCCTGCCGATAGACCTATATAAATATTACACAAACTTCATTAATAAATGTAAATACAATGTATGCAACCGTATCATTAGGTCAGTGTATGTTTGGTTACATACGTACAACCATAATTAAAATATATACAGGGTGTCCACAGTATAATTGGACCTCTGATGAACAAAATGTAGAAAACATTGATTTATTGAATAATAATTATTAAGATTTTTAGATATTTATGCTTGAAATATTAGGATTTAATTAATTCTAACCATTATATGCGCAGTCAGAATGGACTGTATCAAATTTACGTTATTTTTTACGAACAAAATATGATTAATTATTTTTTCAAACATCCTTCATTAATGAATTAAGTTACCGACGTTCTACTGTAGTAGCAATTATATTTTAAAATAAAAAAACTAATTAAATAAATATATCTTTTGTAATAAGTTTATACTAATTATAGCTAACTTGGAGTTGATCAAAACTATGTTTAAAGATATTTTTTTTATTTACAAGAAAAATATTAATAAGTTTTAATTCTGGCTAAATATAAATGAAATAAACAATATTGCAGATCCAATGACCAAACTACACTGATAAAATATAAACAAGTAAAAGATAAAGTATCATCATTACATCAGAAACGAGTAGGAAGATCGTGCGGTTGGAATCATTTCACAGCCATCTGTGTTGCTCAGCTCTACAACAAGTTGATTCGGATGATCCTCCAGCCGAAGACGATATCTGATGCTGGCTTTTGAAATATATTCTTTAACGAAGGCGATACCAGTGGATAGAATCATTGGTGGTGAACCAGGGAGAACTGGTCAATTGCCTCAACGTCTTTGATTTGAACCTCTGGATGATGTCTAGGCTAGAGTTGCACGCAGTTGAATACCATAGGTCTAGATCTGACTGCCTTGTAGATGGAGAGTTTGTTTTCTGTTGAAACACCCGAATATCTGCCGAGAAACCAATGCAACTTGTTAACCGTCAGGTCGAGCTGTTTCCTTTTGGTAGTTATATGCTTCTTCCATGTTAGAGGTCTGTCAAACTTTAAATTATCAATAAATTGTTAATTTATTATTTGGTTAACATATTGCATAAGAACAAATGTAGTACCAATGTTTATTGGTACAAGAAATCTTGAAAATCAAACGATTCAGTTTAACATAATTTCTAATAAACTTAGAAATATATATTATATTTAATGTCAAGTAAATGTGTTGACAAGTATGACAAGTTGACAATATGAAATTTTGGTAAAAAAATAAAACCATGATCATAGGAAATGCAAATATTCAATCAATTTTGAGGAAGTTTTGAATTGTAGCATTAAACCATAGGAAGCTACGTTGCTTGAGAAATATAGCTACTTCAATAATTGAAATCGTCGAAGAAGTAACTAAAACAATTCTAGAAAATACAAAGTGAGGTTTGAAGAACAAATTAAAAAATAAACTATATGTTAAAAAATATCAATTTATGAAAATACATAATTATCTATTTTATTGTTGTTATTTGTGTTTAGGAACGTGATTTGGTTAATGACCAGAACTTACAAATTACAAGCTAATTTGAATAAATATTAAAGTACAGGTCAGGTCTTTCATTAACATGGACGAAATTAGTCGTCGACCACGTGAAACGTTTGCACGAACCGAACAGAACCGACTTGACATCACATGAATTTGATATCAAAGATGTTCGTACTAATGCATTTCCACGTAAAATCCTCTGACATCGATCGCATCCTAAATTAACCTCCTTGATCTCCAAATTAATACTTAAAAGTATGCTAATTACAACTTCGTCTATAGTCGGCCTTGTGTCCCACATACGCAAAAAGTAATAAAACGGTAAAACTGCTCACACTAATAACAATTTTCCATCCAGATCAATTGCAGATGTTCACATTACTTCTTCCTACGAACTGAAATCGGGAAATAATTAATACACAATGCGGAACACGTATATCCACATCCTCATTGCATTCCGCACGACTATGTAATAAAATTATGCACAGATTACGATCAACTGGTGTCGTCGCGTATCTTTTTTAATTAACTTTTGAAATATGGCATATTCCATACTTCATGGTAAGCGCACGATGATATTTCTTATATTCTGCAAGAGGAATGCGACATACTTGAGCAAAAACCGAGGAGATGCTTCCAACATATTATTAAAATTAATTATAATTAATTAAATACCTAATTATTAAAGAAAAAGAAAATTGACAAAACATAATTTATGAAAGTAAAGAAACATGTCCGGAAAATTAATTGATTGGGTAAACTTAGTCAATAAATAACTTGAAAAAATATTTTATAAAACTTTCCGTGTTCCAAATTCTGGGCAAAACAACAACCTATTTTTTTTCTCATCATTTAAGTCTGGAGATTTCTCTAGTAAGATTATCTTATAATAAATTAACTTTGGAGATCAATCGTGGATTCCACGTGGGTTGTGGCCCGTGACGATTTATGCGTATATTTTCATCCTGTAATCTACGTTCTCCGCATTTTCACTTTCTTCTTCGGCTCGTACATATTTTCTACATAGTCCTCGCAATATGCCAAATCAATTCCGGCGTGAAACTCTAGTTTAGTGCTTTCATAATTCCGCCACACAGCTGTTTTATTTTCCAATTAACATTGCACATCTAACACTTTACTTATTCATACATGCATTAAATATACTCGTGAGAGCACTTCCTATATAAATTCAAACTATAATAAGTCACATTTACTTTCAAACAGATACTGTCATTAACTTAATTTGTTTGACTTATGGAGTATATTCTATTATTAACTTAAAAGAAAACGTCATGCTATACTTATGTGATCTAGATTGTATTATTTGTGTAATTTGCAATTAATTTTAGTAATTTGTAAACGTGTCTTCATTTATTGTATCCGGAAGAGTGGAACTGCTTTAAACGACAGGAAGCATAATTGGACTAAAGAAACTTTCACAAAATTTTAAACGGGAATAATATTTTTGATTTATTTAATTTTTATACTTTAATAATTACATTTTCTAATCTGGATTTTGGATAAAATTTACATAAAAAAAACATGAATTTAATAAAATTAAACTATGATACATTTTAATTGCTACATTAAATTTAAGTGTAATATGAATATTTATAAATGTGTACTCAAGTGATCAATAAATATTTATCACTTATCAAATTTGTAACATGAAGTTGGTGCACATACCATATGTGACAAGTACATAAGTCATGTATTGACAAGTATGACAATATTGTCATTTATTTGTCAATAGGAAATGCAAATAATCAATACGGATAATTTTCAAATATAAATTGACTAAATAATTCGTATTAATAACATAAAATTGGTATATATTTTAAAGGAAATAGAAGGAAGTTCTGAATTGTAGCATTGAACTATAGAAAGCCTGAGAAATATTGCTACATGTGGAACCGTCAAAGTAGTAACTAAAACTTTTCTAGAAAATACAAAGTGAGATTTGAATGAGATATAAATAGTTTAGCAATTAAATTACTATAAGAAATTAATGATTGAAAATCTTCATGATATAATTAGTATTATAGTTCATAAGCCTGAGATTATTATCTATTTCAATTACTATTATGTGAACATAATCAAATTCAATGGAAATTTTAAATAAAACTACAAAAAAAACTAGATTAAAATTGACAGCAGTAAACTTGATTGATGATCATATACTTCGCACACACCTAGTTTTTTTTTTATTCGACATGTTCCAAATTCAATGCAATCGAATGCTGTAACATTATCTTAAGATGCACGTTAGAAAGCTTGTAATTATTATACTTTCACAAATCTCGTTCCGGGTGGTAATTCCGGATTCATTCTTGTTTCTTCCGTTTTAATCTTGTTTTTTTTTTCCATCTTAGATATTCAACTGTATTTTTGTGAAAGTAGGTTCGCTAACGACAAAGTATTTCTTTCAATTTGTTTATTTATAAAAAAAAATATAAAACGATGTATTTATAAAAATAAGATTTAAATGGTAAACAATATATAAATAATAACACAACAATAAAAATAAGTAACAAATTGTGAATAAGTGAGAATGCACGAAAGATATTATTAATGTGAATCGAATGAATTTCCTGTGAATGAAATGATTTGGTAGTTACCCTGAACATATCTATACACATAACATTAAATATAATAATGCATTCCAACGACAGGACTAGAGACAGTAAACATTAACATAGCTCCTATATTGCTTCTTTCCCTCTCATATTTTTTGTTTGTAATTACTCTTGATGACCGTAACTACCTCCTTCGGAGCTCTCGTAACCTCCGGTTTCGCCGCCGGATTCGTAACCGCCTCCGTAGCCGCTGGTTCCTTCGTCTCCGCCGTAGCTGCTCAATTGCTTGGCGCTGTATCCACCGGAGTATCCTCCGCTGTAACCATGGTCACCACCGTGTTCGCTGCTTCCGGCGTAGCTCTCGTAACTACCCACGGAACTCTCGCTGTGTCCTCCAGAGTAGCTACTTCCGAAGTCGGAGTATCCACCACCAGCAGCATCGCCGCCGGCATCTCCACCGTACGAACCGCCTGCAGAGACTTGTTCACTTTTGTCACTGTGACCTCCGCCGAAACCGCCTCCGTAGCTATGGCCGAATCCGCCACCACCACCGCCGCCGGAATGTCCACCTCCAACGCTGGAATGTCCAACTTGACCGCCGTCGATGCCGCCGCTGTATCCGATGACCTTGTAATACTCGCTGTCACCACCGCCGCCACCGTGGTCATGACCACCTACATGCTTGTAAACAGTGTGCGTGTGATGGATGGTTTTCACTTTGAAGGGCACATGGATTATAACTTTCTTGTGCGAACTGCAAGGACAAAACCAACGAATCAATACTCCTGGGTTCATCATCTTTAAAATCGAAAGATAACAACATACCTGCCACCACCGCCTCCTCCAGCAAGGCACATTGGTGCTAAAACAAGCACGCAACAAACAACAGCACCCAACTGAAAGAAATAAATGAATAAAATTAATTTACTAAGAAACCAATAAAGTTCGCAATGATATACGTACAGCAATCTTCACAGTCATGTTTCTAAAGGTAATTTTACTGCGAGTGCAGCTCGGACTACTCGAACACTAGGTGAATTGTGATGATCAACGAGAGCACCTCCACTATTTATACCGATGAAAGAAATTTTAAAACGAAAGGAAAAACACATTAAAATGGTGGAATCATGAAAGTAGTGATCGTACGTTTACCTCCGAGTCTCTCTCTCTCTTCATCCTTCCGTCTCTCTTCGTCCCTCTTCATCAGCGCGCCGCTTAATTAGACCAGAAGAAGTAACCTGCTTCGCACAATATAATAATATAAGGCACTTTCCTTCTCTAATGCGATACCTTCACCTTCACTTTATCTAATATCAATTTGTATTTATTAATGCACGCCGCTTTCTACTTCGGACAGATTCGGACGGATTCCTCTGCATTCGATCACAAATCTAATAATAAACATAACAAGCATCTAAAATTACATGTTATTTAACACTTCGCAAATTATAAAGTCATTTATATTTTCATTGTTTTCCTGAAAAAGACTAAACAGATTCTTTATTAGGAAGTCCTATTTTTTTCACTTTTCTAATTAGCGTTTCCTTACCGCTAGATTATTAATTTGATCCAAAAAAAAAAGATGATTGGGTTATATTCGGAAGGAAAGCGGCTTAATTACCGCTTTCTCTTGTATCTGTTTGTAGTTTTGGTAGATGACAAGTGCCAAATTAAATGTAATTGGCATGATTACAACACCACTGCATGTCCATACCTATAATTACCAAATTGCCACGGTTCAGTTTTTTTTTACAAGCTTGAGTAATTTTGATCATAACTTAAGTGCATACTTTGGTCGTATACTTTAGAAAAAAATGTATGGAGATGTCTTCTAGTTACAAAAAATGTAATATGTAGTAATCAATATAATCAATACATTTGTAGTTGTCTTATTTAAGTAAAATAGTAATTATATTAATAATTTAAAAGATTCATAGCTATGATTGTTATTTTTAGATTTTTATTAATATAAATAATAATTACTATTATTATATATGAAATATTACTATTATTACATGTTTAGATGTTTTCATTTTGCAAAGACACTAAACATGATCGTTTCATATAGTGCAGTTAACACACCTTAGAAAGTAGTTTTTACACTCGATATTGAGTAATGTCTGTATGTTCAAATATATGAATACAGATTTCCCTCTGTACCGAGAATTTGCATATTTGTGATTTAAAAAATGAGTCATGTTTTGGTACGTGATGTCCAGATTATTACGTTCCGCTAATGAAGCGACGGAAACGCCACTGGTGATAATCCTGTCGACGCTGATTGGAAATTAACAGGATTCAAGTCAATTTCATTAACCGCATGGGTGCGTTTCGCCGTAAACTATCTTTAAATAATTAGAGTGCAATTTGCGTGTCGGTTCGTGTTCAATTTGCAGATGTGCCCTGAATTCTATAACAATTGATATCGATATGTACATGATCATAATCAAATACGTTCAAACTATAAGAAATATATAAATACATCATTTTGATTGTATCATTTAATATGTTACTTCAGTTTTCCGGTCTTTTGAGGTGGTTTCAGTTAACAATGTTCTGCAGAGACCGGAACGAATGATGGTGTGGTTCATCTTAATCACGCTCCAATAATTGTAACAGTTTATCAACAAATTATGAAGTCTGGCGTTGTCATGGTGCAATGACAGTTTTTTTTGCCAAGTCACGCGGCTTTTAAACAAAAGACTTATAAGTAGCTAAGTAACAAATGTAATTAAATGTCTATTCTAAAAAGTAATGTGGACAACTTGATTTTGTATTTTTATGTTTTTTTCTTTTATTCTAACATTTGGAAGTCCTTTATTTTATTGTCAGGAATAAAATGTCGATGGACATTTTCAGACTGTGTAATCCGTTTAATCGCAGTGTTGGCATTTTGGTGCCAGATCTGCTGAACATCGATCTGCTCTGTAATTTCCACCACAATTGTTGCAGGTTGGTGGTTTGATTCAATCGGCGAAAGGTCGAACATTTCGTATTTGTTAATTGTGACTTTTTTTTATCTAAAAATAGAATATCTCTTGTAGTTATATAGCAAAAAGCTTGGTTAGTTGATTTTACATAAACGGTATTAGTTTGTCATGGAAACATTTGAAACTTGCAAAGTAAAATATCAAATCGTTCATCTACCTCTATAATTTAATATTAACGTATTGGTGTCACTTGTTACTATAGAGACAATGAGTACGCATTTAAATGCAAATATTATTTTAAATGTTATGTAAATACAGAAAGCTGGTATTATTGTTTGTCTCTTTTGTTTAATTTAGTAAATGCAGCAAGATGAACGTAACCCAACGTTCCTCCAGTTATATAATATAGTAAGATCCTACTTTAGAAGATTGAACTTCCTCCATTTACAAAGTGTCCGTCTATTTGCCATTTATTCAGCTTGAACATTCCTTAAACTAAACTGCGTTTATTTACTTGTTTCTGCAAATAATGTCTATGCAATTAAATTTGCGTAATCAAATCTACATTCATTCATTCGTATAATAGAATAATATTTGCAGGTATTAAGCCACTAAATCGCTTTTGGTAGAAGTAGATTTTTTTGACAACTACTAATATTTTTGACAGCTGCCCGATCTAAGATATTTGTTTGTAGTTGTACTACGACCCAATTGTACTTCGATTTGACATAAGGTGACAGCTGTCATTATTATGTTGGCAATCATTGTGTGCCAAATAAAGTATTTTGGCAATATTTTCAAGTATCATTATACTTTTCAAATTAACTTAATACAGTACCGAAACCATATAAAAAACAGTTATGTCTTCAACTTCTTTTTGCTGTTAACGCTTCTTTCATGTAATAAATAAAATATGAAGACAATTGTATCCTTGATGATGATATAAATGAATTTATATGACATGACAGTTATGAAAGTAATTGAAATGAATGAAATTTTCCTGGGTTTTGACTGAGGAATTACAAACAATAAAGTGGGTTTAATTCACTTTGAACTTATACACGCTTTGATCAACGAACCGCCAAGATTGTGCGTGCTTCGGTGGACAATTATAATCGTTGATTCTGGTTTGCTGTCCTTGTTCATCTGCATTCTCCAGCATAAAAATAAATATTAAAAAAAAACAACAACAACAAACAGAACAAACAACTTTCTATTGAGATAATAGAATAACTTTCTATTTTTTTTTTCTCGCTCGTTAAGAAAATAAAATATGTAATGATATCATAACCACCCTTCAACAATTACATGTTTTTATACATTATGCACTTTTGTATTTAGTCCACGTAACTGTGTTACACTGATTTAGACTTTAATTATGTAACGGTTTGTATAAAACGTGTATAAAAAATAATTAGTTTACGCCGTACAAACTCTGACTAAACATAATAAATTACATTACATTATTTTTGTTTTATTATGCTTCAATTTGAATAGTGAATGTATAATATATACCTAATAGCATTAAGTACAAAGACATAACAAATTGAAGATGCTTAAGAGTGAAATTCTGTACTTTAGTGAAAAGTAGGAAGAGACTACATTCACTTTCAAACCAAAAAATCTTACATAGTAATATAATAACATATATACTTGCAAAGTGAAGATTGTGAACTTAATTATATTTAGCTGAATTTTATTAAATTTGTCTAAAATTAAACATTTCAAAATTATATCAAATGTTAATATTTCATTACTTCATATTTAGAAAGTGAATTACAGCCAAATTTATGTAAACAAAGCAATCATTGAATACACGTTGCATTACCCAAATGTCTAACTTTTATAGGAATCTTTTGTATCTATTCTATCTATTATAGTTTTTGAGAAAACCAATAAAATGTGAAAACATTGCTTTTTCGATCTTCATTTTACATTACCTCACTTCACAATGACTAATTGAAGAAAAGCAAACCCTTGCATAGTATGGGTAATCGGTTTGTACTGAATCCGGACTGATCGAAGCCACACTATGACAGGTACTGCTGTAAATAATTACCTAAATATGTAATATTAATAAGAATTTTCTATTTTAAAATCTCCTATCTAAATGAAAAGGAGCAAAGCAGTAGTAAAGAGTGCATAATAGTGAAATCGTAGTAATACTTATTGCATGTTTTATGGTTTCTCTAATTATACGTGTATATTTTTAATAAAATAAAATATTTGTAGTTAATATTAAATGTAACGTATTTGTTAATTACCAGAAATATATACTATTAATATCAGAATTCCTCAAGGATCCTTAATTGTTATTTTTTTACTAATTTAAGAAAAAAATGTAATTCAAATATTAACTAGATTCTCAAATTTTTACTAATATTTCGTACAATTAATAATGAAAATAATTCTAGAGATATGGAAGTCATTCATCTTTATTCCATTGGAGTTTATAACGTTTATAAATGCTCTGCGTCGCGGAGCATCCATCCTCTTCGTTTAATATTGAATCCCATCCATGGAAACAATCTCAACAATTTCTCAACTCTTTCATTAAATTTTTATGCGTCGGATCGCCCCCGTCAGGGCTCCAACCGGTGATATGCATTACTTATGAAATTCCTGTACCCCAAAGTCGGTCATCGTAATAATAATTTAATATAAGTTATAGTGCGATTCGTTACGTTAAGGTTCCCTTCCTTCCTCATATCCTTATCCTTCATATGCACACGAAGAGTAAAAAAACTAATGAATGTACAACGTAATAGAATTTCCCAGTTTTATCAAATAGCTCATATGTAAATATTATATAAATAGAAATAATAAATATTTTTCTACAAGAATTTTTAATTAAAATGTTCATATTTTATACATAAAGATATGCATTTTTTAATAATAATTAAATATTAATGATTTATTGCATAAAACTATTTTATATAACATTTGTAATAAATTTGTTGCAAATCTAATATTTATTTAAAAGATTTACCTTTTCGTTAAGTCTGGTAAACCACACTTTCCAAGTAACGTGTGAAGTACATGTATTAAAAACATACATTTGTATTAACATAAAGTTCATTTTACGATGATTAACAAATACTATGCAAAGCACAAACATTAGTGAAATATACTATAAATGTTAGATGAAAAGAAACCGAAGTTAATAATTAAAGCGATTTTAAAAGAAGTTATTACAATTACTTACGATTTTGATTTTCTTGAATTACTTAATTTGTCTTTATTATGTCAAC